CAGGCCTGGCTGAAATACTCAGGCGTCAATGAAGGTCACCTGTCAACTTAGAGTAGTGCCTAAAGATTACTTCGTGCAGCTATAAACGACCGTGAAATGGAATGATGAATTTTTGAAGGATTTTCAAAACCGGAACAAATGATAGTCAGGCCGGCCCAGCATCATCAACGTTCAAAAATGCCCCGGCACGAAGTGGTTGAAACATAAGGTAAGCTTAAAGAAGAAAATTAGGAAGAATTTTGGAAGATAATTCTGTTAAGACAAGAAATATCTGCATCTCAAGAAAATGACTGAGGGCATTTTCGCTACAGGGCAATAACAAACTGCAACTCCGCAGGTCTTATCGGATGCAGCTTGATCTTGGGACAGAACCCAACTATTGACAAATTCATTGCACTTTATGTACATGAAAATTCAGACAAAGCAATACAACTTTGTACAGCACTAATGACAGTGCAGGGCAATTTATGAACTCGTTTGGGGAACCGCCTCGGCGCTTTTTGAGCCAACGCATCCAAAAGATTGCCCTCGTTCTTTGAATTTGAACCTTCTGTGACATCATAACACTCCAGAGCAGTCTCATCATTATTGGCCTCATTGACCAACTCTCCAGATGAACCATTGACAATGGGAACATAAGTCACTTGATCTACTGGGAGGCTCTCCTCCAAATCATCCTTGGATTCACTTTCCCAAGTACCAATTGTTTCACTGACACACTGTTTTAACATGTCAACATGGACACCTTTTGACATGCTTCCCAACTTTAGCTGAATATGGATGATAACATTCGACAACTTCTTGGTAATTAACCAAGGTCTTTCCCAACAAAGCTGTAGCTTGGGGGAAAGGTACTATTTCTTCGCCAGGTTGTGTAGCCACACAGATTGGCCGTCTTTTTACCCATGTTCAAATCCTTGTCTGTCATAGTTTCGTTTTTTGCCTCCCTCCGGGCACTTTTTCTGAGATAATTCCTTGCCCTTATGGGCACTCTGCATTTCACCTCTCAATTTCACAACAAAGTCTAAAGTTGTGTCCTCTTCAACTTTGGGACACCTTGTTACCGAATCTACCAGGAAAGTCACCTCTAATCCCAACATCATCATGTTTGGGCTCTCACCAGTTGAGTCCTGTGGCGTACACCTGTAGGCGAAGAAGGCATGGGGAGAAATTCATCCCAGTCCTTCTGCCTTCACTTAGGGTCAATGAGCATTGCCGCAATATTTACCAAGGTTTTGTTAAACCTTTCAACCATGCCGTCTGACTTTAGGTTGTAGGCGGTCATACAGGTTTTTGAAATGCCAAGGACTCGGCACATCTTACCAAATACCTCAGATTCAAAGTTAGCACCCTGATCTGAATGGAGTTCTTAAGGCACTCCAAATCGACACACAAACTCTTTCACCAACATATATACGACCGTAACTACAGTTGCATCTGAAAGTGGAAATGCCTCCATCCATTTTGTGCAGTAGTCACCAATGACCAAAATCCAATAGTTGCCATTGTCTGTCATGGGCAATGGCTGAGCAAGTCTATGGCTACTCACTCCACTGGAACCCCAACTGGAAACTGCTGTAAGGGTGCAACCCTTCTTTTAGCAGCTGACTTTCTTCTGGCCCAAACATTACATCCACTCAAAAATGACTGCACATCCACAGACATACCTGGCTAGAAATATCAAAGTTTCACTTTGGCTAATGGTTTATTGAAGCCTAAGTGTTGACTTCCTTGCAGAAATTTGGTGATAACACCAATAGCCACCAAATGGCCTTTCCATCATCAGAGTCCTATTGTCGGTGTAGCACACATTTGCAGATCTCCAACTGGTCCCATTGTGACCAATACATCTTGCAGGTTGCTGACAAGTGGGAAACTGTGTTCCACACTGGCCGATTTTTGCCCTCTACCTTCGACCTTATGAGCCAACTCATGGTGTCATCCTGTAATTGTGCTTCTCTTAAACACTCCCACACAGGACTGGTTGGGCGGCCCTGCCCCTAACACACTCCCCGGAGGTTGACCCTTGGGTACCACACCAATTGTTTCAACTTCATTCACCTCCTCCTCACTGCAGCACAGTTTGCACAGCGATCTCAACAATCCATCAGGATTTCCATACTGGTTGCCACTTCTGTGCTCCATCGGATCTACCGGGGCAAGCCCGACCAAGTCAGTGCCCTCCAAAACAATTTTGCCTGGGACCACAGCCTCATGACCTGGTGGGTTGACTGTTGATTGGGAAAAACCAGCTGCGGAATGATTTTCAAAGTGAGGGGGCAGTTGCTAGACCATCAGGCATCAGCCGTTAATGGGTCAATCAATTACGTCTCACCCAATTATAGGACCTGCAAAAAGTGGGGGGCCAGGCCCCCAGTTGAAAAAGTGGGCCTCCCCACTTCCGCCACCAGTGTTGGGAAACCACACGTTCAGCTAAGGGTTCGCCATCACCATTTGTGCACTTGATCTTCTCACCACTGATCTTCCACTCCCTTAATTGGAAGTCTATGTTTCCACCCGTTGTCACGAGAAAATCCATGCCCAAGATACCACTGTACGTCAATTTTGGCAAAGACTGCCTTCACTGGATGTGTGGTTTGACCAACTTGCATCTCCACCAAAGCCATACCTAATTGGCGAATTGGTTTCTGTCCACCTGTTTCACTTGCACATATACTGCCTCCAAGACAGGTCTTTTCTCTTTTGGGATTCTATCGTACTCCTCACTGCTTATTAAAGTATCAGTCGAACCCATGTCAATTAAGAATTGACTCTTGGTCGACCTCACTAACCCGTCAACAAACAACCCGTAACTTTCCATCACAACATACACTATCAGCTATCAACACTTAATCACAAGTGGATCCACAGAGTTGGCCACAGGAGCATGTATGTCTGTTGTAAAAAAAAAATACATCTTGAAAAGCATGTATGTCCCTAGTAAATGTTGACCAAAAGAAGGGTGAGAGTGAAAGAAAGTGGAGGGTAACCCATCTCATTTTGGGTCTGCCCTCACTTGAAAAATGCATCCTCAGCCCTGTGCATGCACAGGGTTCCTGATTCACAGTTACATGTACATCCCCCACTGGTTACCCAGGAAATGTCTGGGCCCATAGGTTAGTACCATTGCCATCATGCTCCCCCCCCCACCTGCCCACACTATGGGTTCGTGCATTTTCTGTGTATGCAGTGTGTCCACCCCAAGTATAAATGTTGTTGATATAGGCCTCTGAAAAGCAATGTTGTTACTACAATCTTTGTACAATGCACCACCAAATTTCTGTTAACCTTATTTCAATTCTGTTTGACAGTGGATATGTAGTCATCGTCAGCAAATTTAACTTAATGGTATTTACATCACAATGACTATGTTGGTGCAGAACCAGACAACTATTTGTCAAGGTAAGAATTTTTATGTAAAAAAAAAAAACAAAACAAAAAAACGGGTTGCTGTGCATGTGCCCGGCAATATGTTGTCTACATGTACTTACATTTGCTGACGATACCTTGATATTTACTGCCTTTTTTTGCTCTGTTTAAATGCATTTCAGTAAGCGTCTCTTTTGGTTTTAGTGCTATGCAAATTTGCATATTCATGAGCAAATGTGTGACATCATACCAGGGAGAAAACCTCAACGGTGCACAGATTTGTGCACAAAATAAAAATCCAAAATGTGTACAATTTATTGTTCTAAATTTCCTTTTCTTCAGGTATTTGTCCCTTTGTAAGTACAAGGCAAGAAGCCAGTGAGGAACCCTTTCTCATAACTGTTTCAGTGAGCGAATTTTGGACTCGCAATTTGATAGGAACACCCTTTGAACTGAACACTGCCCTCCATGATTGGTCCCTGATATCACAGCAACTTTGAGCATCTTCTGTTATCCAAAAAAAATTTTCAAATTTTAAATGTTTTATAAAACCATGCACTTTCTAATACGCTTAACCCCAAAACAATGTCAAACAGTTTTCATATATGGAATATATATGTGAGTTGCACAAAATTGCACCAAAGAAAACTTCAATTTTTGCTAAACCTATTCGGGAAAACACCAAAGTGACACTCTCCCACTCAGTAAGTGTACATGTATTTGTTCTGGTGATGCCATCCAACAAAAAAAAATATATATTCTTTTAATTTTTTTCCCAAAATTTACTGGTAACGTCATGAAATGAAAGGAATTACACCTTTGAAAGGAATGCCAGACCCTAGAAAATGAAGGAATTTCCTGACAGATAAATATGATTACATGGACAAAAAAAATTTAAAAAATTACTATTTCAGTCCATGATACCAAATGAAACTACACCTTTTCATTTAGCCAGTGGATTGAAAGAGCCAGTTTTTGGTGATATAACCTGTTTTCATACAAACACAATCACATTCACACAAGTACAAGCCTGTGGTCACTTGCCCTTGTAATGTGCCCGCTCACTATGTCATAACTTAGTTGCAAGGAACTTCATGGAGAATAACACCCTCAGTGGTAACAATAGAAAACATGACTACATGTAGTGCTCTCCCAGGTGTCCCTGCTCACATTTTCCTTCAAAAAATTCTGCTGTCTGTAACCATCTAATTGACAATAAGTTGTATGCAATCAGTGCACCATTGCATTCAAACCAGCCTTTTGTTATCAATACCTTTGTTTGAATATCTCCACTGCACTGCCACTCATCTTCATTGTTTTTGGTCAGCTTTTCCAGGAAAGTACAGCTGCAATTAATCAAAACACAAACTACATGTATTTACACAATATTATCTGAACAAGAATTTCCTTTCCTGTGCTAAATGGACCTCTCTCATATTGCCTTCTATTTGTATTGGAGGCCAATGATGCAGAGGGGCCATATTTTCATTTGCCTGGGTCAAGTTATTGGTCATTAGCCGCACCACATTGGCTCGCTTACGTATTCTCCGTTGTGCACATGTGTACATTCAAAGTGGAAAATCAAGCCAAACAGCGACCTCATGCAGCCAGCTTGATTTGTAAAATCAGCTGAACCATGATGAACGTTTGAGTAAAACCATTTCCAGAAAGGTTTGGGAAGGTGCTCATTATCCTGTGTGCCGTATATTGCAGTGTTTCAGACTGTTGATTTATGAGTGAAATTTTCCCATTTTCATCGGTCAACAACTGCATGCATTCTGTGTGCAATCACATGGCCATGGTATGATCATATTACACACGTGAGAAAAACTCAATGCATTGCATTCCCCATGTGCGGCATATTGCAGTGTTTCAGATTGTTGATTCACTGGTGAAATTTTCCCAGGTACTGAGGTCTGAAACTGTCTTAGTTTCGTTGTAATATATCCTCAAGGATTGGGCCAAAAACTAGCTGTACAGATAGACCTACTCAACTTGGTTCTGAGTTGTCCCATGCGCCTCACAGCATGGGGTCCACGATGAATAAACTTTCAGTTTACGTCCAACTTACATGAAACGCTTCAGTAACATGACACCCACACTCCATGGCTGTCTGCTGTTCTGGTAAAAAATCTTTAAGTAACTAGTAATTTACCAGTGCAGAATTCAAAGATATAAAGAGTTTTAGAACAATGGACGACACAGTTCAGCCATGACACAGCCAAGCTTGGCCAGCATTATGTTTTGATGAGGTAGTTACATATTATGAAGACACTGGAATTAGAGGTCACTTTTCACTTTGATTTTTCCACTGTAAAACAAAGATGGAAACGGACAGCTAGCCAGTACAGTGCGGATTATGACAAATGCCTTGACCAAGGCTTTACTTTCATTTAGTTTTTACATATAGTAGCAGAATTTTACATGTATTATTTGGTGTTTTGATAACAGTGTACATTTTTTAAATACTGTGTAGGTTACTCTTTTAGTTTTATTCAGAAGGCAAGCCACATGTGCAGTTTACCAGTTATGGGTGGGCAAAAATATGACTGTGAAGTAAAAGGGAGGTGTCCAAGCACTATTTATGCACCAAGCTATAAGCTGCAATAAAAAGAAGAATGGATAGTAAAGAAAACATTGATGATTACCAAACAACTTCTCACCAGAGAACTGTATGCCTGCAGTTAACTAAGGAGTGGAACTATATTTACTAAGACTAAAAAAGGTTTACTTCAGTGTTGATCGAATGGAGTAAACAAATGCATCACAAGTCATTTATAACCATGAACAGAGTTGAACTGCGAGAGATTAACTGCAAATAATGCAATCATCTGAGAAATTTAGTTTTTAAATACAATGGACCGTTCACAACAGTCCTTACTGGAATGGCTGCTCACAGCATAAAAGTCTGTATAACATTACAGGCAAATACAATGTATTAGTACATGTAGTTCTGTTGCTTAAGCAACTGTGGAATCACAAGTAATGTTTGTTTAATCTCGCATATGGGATGACGATAACTGCTACAGTTTCTTTCTTTCCAATCCCAAGTACACACAATACCACTGTAATCTGTGCTTAAAGTACTTAGGAAAGAAGAACATTTCCTAAGTTGCAGGCTCTTTAGCAAATCTGTAAATTCCATCACCTGAGCAAGGGGCAGAGAATTTTTCCTCGGTGAGTGCCTGTCCGCATTAGTCGCACTAAATGAACTAGGTTGTGGTGATGACTGCTGCAGTGGGTAAGACACAGACACAATTTGCTTGCCTGTCACAAGATACAAAAACAATATGATTAAACAGAACTGGGTCATTTACTATGGGGGAATGTGGTCAACACAAGAAAATAACATGACACTTTGCAGACCTTAAGTGCAATGGAGCAAATGATTCATCTACCTGTGTTTCATCTGAATGCACGACAAAATGGGCTGCCACCCAACATCAACATTTTCAAAGACAACGTTTATTTTTCCATGTTTTACCTTTCTTATTAAATTGAGTTATTTCTTATTAAATTGAGTTAAATTTTTATTAAATTGAGTAAAAACTGAATACCGAAACTTTGAAGAGTCGTCAATCTCAAACCAGGTCACAAGCAGACTCAATGCACAATATCCACTACAGTGTGCTATGACATATTAACAGTCAAATGACTTGGAACACAACAGAAGGACTGTTTTATCGTTTTCTTACAGTTGGAATAATACTAACAAGTATGTAAGAAACAGACCTGAGAATTCCATGTTTGCTCTTGAAAACAATTGAGTACAGCAGCTAGGCAGTGCTGAATATCAACCTCCACAGGGCACCTGCAATCAAATCAATAAAATAATATTATTCCGTAATAACTCACATGAAATATTTATTCATAAATACCTTAGCCAGTTTAGCCATTCCTATTGGTCAATAGCCCGTCATGTGGCCAGTCTTAAACACTTGGTTGGTCTTGAACACTTTCCTGAGGTTACATGACATGTAGACTCCTATGAAATCTGGCCCCTTGTCCCTTGTATTGATTGAATGTTTACTTCTGTCTGTACAATACTACCAATGAATCCCGATTTTGACTGTCCCAAATTCATACTACACAGGCTCATTGTGTTTTGCACCACCTCACACAGTACGCATCTTGTGCACACCAATCTTCATTTATGCAGATGATCAGAACCACCAGTGAGAAGTACGTACTGGTACCATACCATGGCAACAAAAATGCTCATACAAATATGAATAAAATTGAACAAAATTATTGAAAGTTTACTCGTTTTAATACTGGTTTGACTACGACTCAAAAAGGTATTTATTAATGGGAATAAATATGTGTTTGGCCATTCTTAAATAATTCTAGACCAGATCAGGAGAATGGATGCTGATAATGTCCCTTGCATTTGGTTTCCATTCTCCTGATCTGATTTGTTTCATTTAAGACCCGCCAAGCATTTAATGATTCCATTATTAAAAATTTGACAGACAAATTTGATGATTATGACAGAAAATTCTAAAAAGTGTAAGAAAGTAACCAATCATTTTTGAAAGATATAACACATATGGGGTAATTTCAGGGGACTCAGAAAACATAATACTAGCATGTTAAGCATGGGGGAAAATCAGCTTTACCAATGACAATGTCTGTGTTGCCCTCTGCTACGTATTGATTCTGAGCAATTTTTGCAAGAGGCTGTCCTGAACCTGCCCTTGATCCACCACTGTCACACCACATTCCTTGGACGGGTACTTAAAATTTGACGATCAAGCCAGCTGAAGTGGCTAAGGAGTACCAAATCTATCTACAATTAATTATGTCATACTGCAAAATAAGAGCTCAGTGCTTTAATCTTAATGGGAATAAATATCAAACTAAATAGGGAAACTGACTAGGTGTGTACTTGTACAATTGATTATAAAAATGAACAAAGAATTTGACCAGGATTTGAACTTGCAACCTCTGAAAACCTGTACCGGTGCTCTACCAACTAAGCTATCCAGCCCTACATTGGTGGCTCTTCCCATTTGTCAGTGTCTCTGTTTGGGGGTGCTCGTCAAAGCCATTAAGCCTGAAATACCATATAGCTAGGGATCACACCCCAATTACAGGATACAACCTGCTAAGTGGTGAACAGGTGAATGGAAATTTGATTTTGGGTGGCCTAGTAGCAGGGGGAATCGCACTATTTTTGTTTCTGAAAAAACTCGGGCCCCTTCATCACCTTCACAACCGGCTGAAGCAACCACAGACCAAGAAATCCTAGACATGGAGTAGCTTAAAAACGGTATATAATAAGAATGAGTAACGCAAAAATCAACATAAATGGGATTGCCAATACGGTATATCACGGCGCAGTAATTTCAGCAATTTTTACGCCATGCTTAGTAATCGACTACTAAAAATTAAACCACCCGATCTAAATAAATTGTCGGTGGAAGACGTAGCAAAAATGGCTGCACTCGCCAGTGGTGCATTGGCTACACAGAATTGGCTAGTGGCGCAAGGTGTCTTACCCACGAGTTTGCCCTCCGGTTAAAACCGTTTTTTTTTAGTAAAGTAAAAGGCCCCGGTTTAGACCACGGTTAAAAACCAGTTTATGGTAAAGTCAAGTGAAAAGTTAAAGTAAGATGGCTGAAGGAGGATTTGACCCGGAAGAGATACCCCTTGACGAAATAACAGAAGATCAAGTCGAAGAAGACCTAGATGTGGATAGTGCCTTTGCCTAAGACAATACATTGGACACAACACGAGAAGAAACGTCATTTGTGGGTCAAGGTCTAGGCACGTCAGATTTAAGAATGGTGTTAATCAAAGGCAAAACAAACGATTTTTACGATGCAATTCAAAAAGAAACCAGGTATGAACCAATAGTTAGGGATCCAAACCTTTTTCATCTTGACAGTGAAGATGGCCTGTATGTCAAGTTTGAAGGCAGAGAAATTCTTTTGAATCAAGAAAACGACAGCCATAAGTTTCTTAGTTTAAGGACCATCCAAAGAAGAACAAACGTAGATCTCATAAGACGCATTTTAGGTTTCCGTGACTACGTTACCAGTAAAACGAAACAACAAGCCCTCTCAAGCAGCAGATCAAGTCAGAGAAATTGTAGAAGACCTCACTCGCGATCAAGAACCCCAGATAGAAGGGTTAGACTACATAGAACGCCAGATAGAAGGGCAAGGTTATAGATGAAGGTTTAGACGAAGCTTAACAGATGGTCAAAGGGGAGCTGATTTTAAACCAGGGTATAAAATTGGATCAATCAGACGCAAAGACTCAAGAGGTTAAGAACGAGTTAGAAGAAGCAGCTTCGGAAGGAGACCGTGCAGAACTTCGAAAGCAATTGAGCGATTAAGAAGTGGAAAGGCAAGGCAGGTTAGAAGTCATCAACAGAAACACCGATCAGCTTCAGAGTCAGATCAACTGCATCAAAGAAAACGTTTCAGCTACAATGGGCAGTGATTTAACTTTATGCGAACGAATTCAAGTGCTTTTTAGAGAGAAAGGCGATTGTATCTTAACGGCTTTTAGTTTAGCCGTGAGTACGATCGTATCTAGCATAGTGACCTCTGTCAGAGCTGTTGGTACGCCTACTCCAACGCTGGAACTGCAACCGCTGGAACCTATGCCAAAACCTCCCCCGTCTAAAGGTGGCGTAACCGACTGGATCAACCGACAATTGTGGAACTTGGCAAACGTGTTGAAAACACTGGGTTTATCTGCTTTGGGAGCACTACCAGGTCTAATCGGTATTATACTTAGCTGGCTATTCAACGTGGCGAGTAAAGCGGTAGGCTGGATCGCTAGTAACGTTTGGACGTTGTTTGTGGGTGCTGATGTTTCGATTTTGACTTATGTGCAGAAGATGTAGGTCTGTTTGCCAGGTTTAACCCCCCTCTCAAATTTGGGAGGGTTTTTTTCATACCTTTTACTTTTTGGTGAAGTTGAAAGTTAATTTCAAGTAAACACTTTGTACAACATAAAATCGAGTCCACCAACAGCAATGGCTCCAATGGTTAACGACAGTTTTTCTTCGTTGTGACGTCCAACGGTTTCTTTTCTTGAGGTGGTGTTGGTACAGGTAAAGGGGGAATAGGTTCTGGCTCTGTAACTTCTTCTACTTGACCAGGTTTTGTGAAAATGGAAGCACTCGAGTTTTGTAAATTGTCATTGTATCCTTCAAATGTACCGATGCGAAGATCCATGTCAGAGGGCACCAAATACAAACCAGATGCAACTACAACGTTTAAAGGCATTTTCGCGTACTGCAACGAATCTTGAAATTGGTCAATACTTTGCTCCAAGTCAGGCTCCGAGTTAATCAAAGATTCCACTATAGTGATAAACTGCTGTTGAGCATCTAAACTGGTGCCGGGGGCTAAAACGCTTGTCTTTGTCCGGGCTTGAGCTCATAACAACTCATATACATAGGCTCTAATTAATTCGTTCACCTTTGTGATTCCTACGTCTGCCAAGCTTGATTTCTTCGGGATAAAGTCCCACCGAGCCAATTTAACTGAGTCGGACTGTTCAATCTAAATCACCGTTAAAGTACCAATTATCTTTATTAACCATGATCGCAAATTGACTAAAGTTGTGTCCCATCTTTTAAATAAAGCTTTTTTAAAAACGAGGTATGGTGGGTTTTACTTCTTGGTAAGCTGGTGGCCGATCCTCGTATTTGACAGACTTTGTTAGAGTTATTCGCCAAGTTTTTTCATGAGGTCTTTTTTAAAAATTGCCGCTCTATCATTGCAAGTGCTTAAGCTTTCTCCTTGACCTGTTGATCAAATTCGACTTTGTCCATCGTTTTAGCTTCTTGCAACTTGGTCGTTGTGTTTGACCAAATCTTTTCTTTCATTTCATTAAATTTTCTAAAGTTCGGACAAAATCAAGACAAATTCTTCTTGAGACATGTCACCGTCTTCAATCACGTGCGAGACGTACTCATCTATGATGTTTAGCTTCGAATCTGCAAGCATTCTGATTTTTTGGGGGGTTGTTTTTTACTTTTGTAGACAAACCTGCGACTGGCGTACTGGTGTAATATCCAAACGCTCCGATGGCAAGACCTTTCATCACTAGTCCTACAGGTCTGGTAATAACTCCCAGAATAGCGGGGATTCCGATGGCGGCCGAAAGCGGCGCCTATTGCTTCTACTCCATATTCGACGTAACTGAGTGTAGTTAATAGTCGTTTGATCTTTTTGTAAGAAGTTTCTCTAGCATCGCGTTCTCTTAAAATCTGTCCTCGACTGTCTTTGATTTTTTTAAGGCGGTAAATTTTAGTCGCGCTTGTTTTGGTTTGATACCCAGTCGAATCTGGATACATGTTCGACCGATTGTCTGTCGTCATCTTTTTATTATATACGATTTTAAAAAAAGTTTAGCCCGAAGCATTTAAAAAGTCTAGCTCGATTACAATTGTGCCGTTTTTATTGTTGATGATTTCTCCCCACTCGTTTCTCAAGGAAAAATGCAAGCTCGTAATCTGATCGTTTACAAGTGACTTGACTCTTTCGCTCGGGTCTGACGTGATACACAACACGTACGAAGGTCGCCCGTTGAAGTAATTAAAGTGATTGTTTATTTCTCTACGGTGTATCCAAAGCTCGTCAAAAGGATCTATATTTACCTTCCCCTTGTAAATAACGTTTAGAACGAGCCTACCTCTCGGCACATTCAAAAGCTTGCCGACTTCTTTACCTAACCGTATTCTGAGTTTTAAATCCGGTATCATAAATGTCACAAGGTTTGACTTCTCATGAACTTTAAAACTCACACCCGGAATGGCGTTTAAAATAAAATCGAACCAATCCACGTTGTAAAATCCGGGTGGAATTACTACACTACCGCGCCCTCCACCTTGTAAAAAATCTCAGGTCGTTTCTCACTTGTGCAAGTGATGCATCACCAGGGTGTTAGAACCAGAAGCCATAACTAAAAGAGTGGGTCTGGGTTCGGTTTGAGCAGCTCTGATGGTTCTCGTTCTTTGTTCATTGTCGTCGCTTAAAAATGCTTCTTGAACAAATCTCGAAGCGATGTGACGGGCTTCTACATAAGTCTCCAATCGTCCTTGAGTTAAAAGTACAAGATGAATTATTGTGTCTTCTTTCTCTTATCTCGTGCTTCAGCTGGTATTAATGTTAATCTTAAACATCGGCGCCTTTATGTTTTTATTTGATTCTCAAGGTCATTTATTTTTTGGTTAACTGAGGTGTTGTATTCTACTAAATTCACCGCTTCGTAAGCTCAAATGAAATCTCTTATTACATCATAAAACAAAACCAGAGTGTCTGCGTCTAATTCTGAGAATGGTACTACCAGTTCAAGTGCTTTTATAACATCCATGTTGATAGCTGTATCTGGTGATGGTGAATCAGCCATTTCACGCCCTGGTCTAACTCCATCAGGCCTTCATCCAGCAGGACTTCCTTCGACCTGAGATTGCCGTTCAATTTCGGTGGATTTTGTTATGTTGAAGTAACCCTGGTGGAAGCTTACCTTTCCGACTTTAATGTTTTTATCCCCCTTCAGATCATTGATTTGATTTTCTAATTAAAAAATCTGCCCTCTTTTGGTCAAATAAAAAGAATGTGTTTCCATCTGCGGTTTGTTTTACTATAAACAGGTTTTTAAAAAGAGCAGCCTTCTTCATAAAGTAAGTTTAAACTTTTTGACGGCATCGGTAAAGTGTTTCTCCGAAACTTAAACAGGTCTTTTACGGTTTCTGCAGTTTCCCCGGTTACATCTTGACAACACACCGCTCCCAAAGCCCTAAGTGGCTGTTCGCGAGAAATCTTACCTGCTAAAATTTGGTTGAATTTATATTCTATGCGATTCGCTTGTCCCGTAGTCAATTGAATGTTTAGTTGTTTTAAAACGTTACTTAACTTTGGCTTGCCCGGCTGATTATAAAACGCTGAATATATTTGCCACCCACGTTGTCTACTTTGTCTGAATAAATGCGAGTTATTTTTAATTGACAATCGCGGCACAGGAGAACAGATTCTTCTCTTATTTCCATTCTATTTGTTGTGTGGGCGCGTGTCTTCTTTGATTTTCTTGTATGCTTCTGGGGGAGGTTTTTCGCCAATTAATTCATAGAGCTAACCGTCCATGTTTATAATTAGTTATTTGTTTAAGGGATGTAAAATTAACCCCAGTTATTCCTGGGAATAACTGAGGCTTAAAGTAGTTTTTAAGTTAGTTTAATTCTCAAGTTTAATCCACCTTTAATTCACGGGCGTTGCAGATTCAGATTCAGATTTAGTTTAAGATTCGTTATGGTCAAATCCTCTAAATGCTTGTAAAGCCGATTTATTTGAAATTATTCTGTCATTTCTAACTTTCAACATGGTGGTTGAGACCATATACCTAACACTGGCACTGCAAGACAGTGAACTGTGGGTTCCGTAATACATGTCTTTTGGATAAATGAATGATTGAGCATCGCATCTTTTATTTACAAATTTCTCGATATTTGACGACGTAATGGGCCTCTTTCAGTTGTCAAACAACGAGGCGTAAGAATCTATTTTAACGTACATGCGATTTTTGTCTGTGTAGGGCAGTTTAACCACGTATTCCATCCTGTTTAAATCATCGATATCGCGACTAGCTTTGTAAGCATTTATGCACAAGACGGCATGATAGACTTGGCAGAAGCTTGTTTTTCGGCCTGTTTCTCAATAAACTTTTAAGTCGCCAAATTTATATCGTCTAGTACGTATCATCCTATTTTGCAGTTGATAACAGATTTGGCAGCCGACGACATTGTCGACAGTTTTATCTCGCGTGCCATATTTATAAACGGGATTTATGCCGTATATAGTCGTGTCTGTCATCATAATTAGCAGGCGCTTTTCTTGGTTGTCAAGACTATAATAAATGGGTGAACAGCATTGTGTTATGTAACTGCTTTTTTTAATCACGGGGTTTGAAATGGTTAATTTACTTGCATCAAAAAGACCGTATACGACATTAGGATCGTTGTTGTTGGCATTGACATGCTCGTCGGTTACAATGTAAATTTGGCATAATTCTAATTTTATAATATAAGTAGTGTTGGTAGGGTCTCCTCTATTTCTACTTATTCGTTGTGATTAATTATTAAACCAAGTTTTTCTGCTTCTTCATTTCAAAGGTTTTAAAATTTTATTTCATTTTTTCTCACAGCTCCAAGGGGAGAGGAGTTTTTCGGAGAAATAGGGAAGCTCCAGGGAAGTCCCTTTCTGGTTCTGGAAGTCACGAGTTCTGTTTGGGAAGTCACAAGTTTTGGGGGAAATCTCTTCTGGTCTGGGGGGAGTGGAAAGGAGGGGGCTGCTCCAGAACTCTCTTTGGCCTACTACTCCAGGACTGAAAGAGTTCAAAGTTGATTCCTACAAAAATATGAACAACAGTGTATGTAACCTTGAAAATCTTGAATAACGTGATCTGTACAAACTCCATCCACTATCTGTGAGACGATAGGTCAATGACAGTTTATTTCTCAACACTTTCACAATCTTTTTAAACCCCTTCAAGCCGGAACGTGTTAAAACACGCCGTAAAAATTGAGATCCTCAGCCTGTTTTATTCTTGGCCCACGCTCGAGGGAACACGGTGACCCTGGCTCTTGTGTACATGGTAATTGGTCTTTGTGTGTAGCCCAGAAATAAAAAGACCGAATTTGCATCATAATCACCAGCTTCACAATAGTCCCCACTTTGAAAACAGGTAACAGGAATGTGGAAGCTTGAGTAGAGCTGCATGCCACCGAACAATCAGCCTTTTCACCATGTAATTCAAAGCGTGCAGAGTATGCTGGGCCACAAACCAAGAATTTTCGGTTTGGCAGGTGGCCTTCATGGCCAAGCGAGGCTGGAATTCTTGGAGTCAGCTTTCGGAAAGAAATTCCCGTTGAGAAGAGGTTAATGCTACCGAAGCTAACCCGTTCAGGTTACAAGTGCCAACAGACAACACCAACAAACGCCCTTTGCACATCCTCAGGAGTTCACGTTGAGGTCACAAGGCGTGGCTTTGTCTCCAGAATTCAACTTACAACGGGCTACAAAGGCCATGCAATGTTTTCGGTGTCCCTGCCCTTGGAAGTCCTCATAGCCAGATACATCATGCAATTGCAGCTTGATGTGATTTCTGTTTTGCCTGCATATTGTTTTTACATGCGAATTTCTGTATTGTGATCTTTGGCTTGTGCAATTTCCACTGTTCTTGTAATTTGTTCTAGTTTTTGCAGTAATTTCAATCCATTAATAATTTTATTACATCTTGATTTGTTATGACTTGTGAGTGTATATACCATTTTTTGCTTTAAGCATTGTTGGCAATAATTTTATTATTTTATTAATCTTTCATAGGCAATAGTTTTATGCAAGAGTTACTATTTCACGTATAAATTTTTTCAATTTTTCTAAATGTTATTTTCCTATTGACCATCGTCTAATTGGCAACTTGGTCGCTGCTGGATTTGGTTGAAATAAAATAAATAAAACAAAGTTTACACTAAGGGTTAAATCAACATTTTAGCTTTATTTCATTTGAAATGGACATGTGCTCACCTGACAAGTTGTCTATCCAAGGAGACTTTGCAAACCAAGTAAGCAAGTGAAATCAACTCCTCTTCATGTAACGAAGGCTTCCTGAGCATCAATCATCAAACACACACAAAGAAAATAGAAATAAAAGCATTTAGCATGTGTGCTTGTTTGTTAATTAGTCCTTAAAATTATATTGGAAGAATAAGGGAAGTGAAGAAGGATGCAGAAAATTTGACGACAAGGTCTACATATGAAACTGTAATCAGATCCATTGCAGGTACAATTTTCTTCTTTGGAATTACACAATGAAAGTACATGTAGCTTTATAGGGCACTCCACTTCACAGCATTGTGATGGCTTTGAAATAAAAGATCTCTGAGGCCAAATACCATCTACATGTGGATGCATCAAGATAACAGCATTCCTAAAGAGGAGTCTTATTACAACCATGGTCAATATCCAGAACAGAGCTTTTGACACAAAACTCCTCATAGAAAGACCACACAAAATGTGATCAGCCATTATGCACAACTGTCAAACACACTACATTTCCTCCTTTTGGTAGTTGGAGTATTAGGGAGACATTGAAATGTCTCCCTAATGACCGATGTCTCCCTAATGTTGAAAATTTTACTACAAAATGTCTCCCAAGTGACCTATTTGGAAATATTAACTCGTAAACTTTCAAAATAATCTCTATTTTGTATAGACGAATCAGTATCAAAAGATAATGGATAACCTAAAGAAATGTGTATGGAAGGCCAACCCCCCAAAGAAACCCTAGTTTCCTTTAAAGAGTTTAAATCATTGGCCTCTGACAAAGCTATGGACTTTGATGAAACTGAAATAGGAAAAACGAGATATTAAAAAAGGTGCATAATTTGGAGTCGATAGCTACATTTTTTTGCATATTCACATCACACAGACGTATTAACCACTTCCTGCCGGGCGACCGTTTTTGAGTATATAGGCTTTATATACAGAGCCGGGGAGCCCAGAACCGGGACAAAAGAGTTGGGCCTTATAACAAAAGACCATGCTCAGCACAAACGACTGAGCTGCTGGGCATTACCAACATTTTTTCGCTCTCAATAGTGGAGATAACCCAGCCTTGTTTTGAAACAGTATGCCAGGTTTGAGGCATTTAGAGCGAGCGGATTACTACCAGGGACAAAAGCTCTCCACCACCGCAGCGATGAGCCACACACCACCGCCGCACGTTAATCTGGCCCCTATTGAAAAGAGGTCAGCAGTGCACTGTGCCAGTTTCGGAAACAAAAGAATCTTACGTAACACCGCACAATCTGGGCTCTTTTTCCAAGGCTGCAGGCCTGGCTGAAATATTCAAAAGTCAATGAAGGTTAACTGTCAGCTTTAGAGTAGAGCCCAAAGAGTCCTTCATGTGGGTATAAATGGCCATTAAATGAAATGATGAATGTTGAAGAATTTTGAAAACAGAAAATCTTGAAAAGGATCCGGCATCTTGTCTTGCTCAAGAAAAATCCATCCGGCAGCAAGTGGTTAAAAACCTTGTATCTTAAGCGGAGTTGGAAAGAGCACAGTGATATTATGGCATGGAATAAACATTTATGACCCACCATCTCAATGTCAGGCTGAACTTCACAACTCTAAAATAGTGGAACTTTCACTGCTCAGATTTTCATGGGAGTTTCACAGCTTTCACTACCCGTAAGAAGCTTTCTGCAGACAGAATTTGATTTAACATAGATTAAAGTGAAAAACGAAAGGTGAAGGAGAGGAATTGTCCAACATCACAAATACCGACTTCAGCCTGGTTTTGAGGTGGTGGGTCACATACATGTATGTATAGATGAGTGTTGTTACCGGTACATGTATTCTTACCCATGCTTTGCTGCATTTAGTAGACATTGTGTAATGATCTTTATAACTTGCTGCAAATTGTATGTAGGAAGGCACCTAGGTTTGGCCTGACATCCAGGAAACACATTCTTGTTTTGACTGTACCTAAAAGACATCAATATATTTGTTTGGTTAAGTCAGCAAAGAAAGTCAATCAAGTAGTTAGAGTAGAAAATGACAAAAACCTACATTTCATTCTCTGTATTAAAAGGTCTTCACATGATTTACAGTGGGTATCAAAACTTTTCCAGCAAACCAAGTTCTCTACCCCATTTCTCATAATTCAGTGCATTATGGTCACACACTCAGTTATCTACTGCACTACATTTTCCAAAGGGGAGAAAGTATTCTAAATATTTATGGTCACTTCAGTCCATCTTAATATATATTCTTGCAAATGTTTTGGCTTTCCGAACGACTAGGTACGTTAGCAAGAATTACACAAGTTGTACACAAAGTCTGCAAACAAAAACTTCTCGTCACTTTTTAGAGTAGTGCTTGGAAGCCATACCACTTCATTTGGGTTGTTAAAATGAAAGAAATCTTTTTCTCAAACTAAGACTATGACTAGTTTTATAAAGGGGGATTTGCAAACTGTAAAAAAATGAAAAGGCTACAGAGGCTTTAATGGTAGCCATCTTGTAGGGCAGTCCTTTTTTTCCACAGGGAAACCTCCTTTGTACACACCCTGCAGAACAAATGCACAGGCGTGTAAGATGGCAGCCACGCAAACCCCCTTTAAAAGGGGAAAAGATGCAGTGTTGCTTCCAACATGAGTCGTAAAAATAGTTTGCCGTAGCTAACCAAACTGACAGATGAGGCCGTAGCAAACTGACAAAACAGATTGAGGATTAATTTAATTTAAGTAAATGTGTGTGATTATTAATCTGACATATAAGTTTTATACAATTTTAATTATTATTATAATGACTCTAAACATAGTTTTCACATTTGTAAACTCTGGAGGTTGAATAATCAATGCACTTAACAAACCAAAACAAGCAAACATTTCAACAATGAACCACTTCATGCATTCATATTTTAACCACAATTACTAAACCGGAAAAGTTGGCACACCAGAAGCCCCAGCAGATCATTACACCGGTCATTCAAATGGCATATACAGAAAACTCTCGATAATTTGAACCTCATGGGAATGGATACAAAATTTGAAAGTTCCTGAATCTTGCCCGCACATACACGCACAGTGCATTATAAGCAGCCCCACTTGCTCCCCACGGTGGCGACTGCAGAAGTTGTAAGTGGATATTTCCTTAAATCCAAGAATAGATTTATTCTAAAAAGTCATCAGTTTCCTGATATTCCTCCCCCACACTGATTGTGTGGGTCGGGTCTACTAGAGAATACCTACCCAAACAGTCACTACTTACGCAAATTTCTCATGCGTGCATGGCCATTCGCTGAATAAGACTTTATCATCCGAGATGCCCTGTGACCTCCCACTATGCACTGCGGTCGCACCGCCATGATCATCCTTTTTTCCGAAAGCGACTAAAGTCGTAGCCTGGTGGGGAGGACGTGCGGGAGAGGACTGTTTGGGTAGGTCTTCTCTAGAAGACCCGACCCACACAATCAATGTGGGGGAGGAGTCTGCTGTGCTCTATCTACCCAAACAGTCACTACATATGCAGAGTGGCACCGTTACTAGTGGTGGATTGGCTACTGAGCACGCAACAGCCAAAGAGATAATAGCCTTTGTAACCAACTGGCAGAAAACTGTAATAATATCAGTGAGAGGTTCTCATGATAAGTAAAAAACATAACCGGACTCACCCTAGTGGGATTCCTCATGAGCTTTGTTGTTTGTCCTTGTTGCCGGAGCTCGTGCTACAGGGAGTAGAACCGTCCTGCCTTGTACAGAGTCGTTATGAAGGACGTTCCTCAGGTAGCAGGATGTGAAGGTAGAGGGAGACTTCCAGCATGCAGCTTTACATATGTCTGCAATAGGAACACCCCGAAAGTAAGACCATGAAGTAGAAACTGCTCTATTGTCATGAGCACTGTTGTAGTGATTACCTTGCTCATCAAGTTGTGAAGGGTAATCCGGGTTAGCAAAATTGATGGCTGCAACCGTCCAGCGGGCTATAATGTCTCTTGCTGCTGGGCAATACAGGCTCGCTGAAATGATGAACAGTTGAGTCGTCGATCCTCTGAGACCCTTAGTCTTAGCCAAGTACCATTTCAAGGTATGAACCGGACACCAGAGTTTATCAGCATCATCCCCAGAATGCGAGGAAATTGTAGGCACAAAGATATCCGGGGGCTAGAAGGACAGAGTTTGGTTCTTGGTTAAAAACCAACAGCGGGGATGAAGTGGACCCCCGAGGCTCCCAGCAGAGATGACTGTCGGCTACTGAGAGCCTCTTCTAGATGCGTCTGCTGCAAGGAGGAAGGCCAGCTTAGTACTAGTGTGTAGGAGGGACGCATTACTCAAGGGTTCAAAGGGAGGACTGGTCAGCATCCGGAGAATCTTTGTAGGGGGACATTCCATGAACATTCCACAAAGGAGGTGGCGCAGTATCAGGTTCTTGGAGATGTCAGAGCCATCCTCAAAACCAGTGTGGATGGCAGCCAGGACTGATCTATAATTACGAATCGTAGAAACCTGGAGTCCAGACTCGAATAAGTGTAGCAGGAAATCGGTGACGGCATTCAGAGGAGCATCGACTGGAGCCATAGTCTGTTCTTCACACCACCTAGTGAAATGCCCTATTCTGCTGTCGTAAATTTTACGGGTGAATAGATGTCTTCCCCGTGCGGCCATGGCCGCAGCCTGGTAAGAAAGTCCCGCCGAGCGGTAGGATGGAAAATCACTTGCAGCTCCAAAATGTGGATGTGATTCACCCGGAAGGCAGGTGGCCAAGTTTCTGAGATCTGATGAGGAGGGAGGGAGGCCCCCCAGCCAAGAGATGATGCATCGGTTGTTATTATCACGGCCACATTCGTTCGCAGGAATGGCAGACCGGCGGTTAAGTGACTTCCCTCTAGCCATCAAAACAGATGACGTCGAACATCATCCGATATGGGAACTACATGACTGATAGGATCCCATTTGGGCTGATAGCAGGAAAGCAGGTGAAGCTGAAGGGGTCTCATGCAGATCCTGCACCAAGATACCAGGTTGACCATACTTGCCAATCAGCCCAAGGAGACGAAGCCACTTGTGGGCCAGGGAGGACTGAGCTGAGCGAAAAAGGGATACGCATAGCCGAAGATTGGCGATGCGATCGGCTGTCAGTGCAATGATACCTCTGCCGAGATTGAGCTCTGCTCCGAGGTAAATCGGGGAATGTGATGAAGACAGTGTTGACTTCTCTCGATTGATGATGAAGCCCAGGCGAGAAGAAAGGTCGTAGGTTAGACGAGTTGATGCACTGCCTCTTCTAGGGTGTAACCCACAATTAGCCGATCGTCCAGGTACTGGAAAATTAGCATGTCCAGCTGGCGTAGATGGGCAGCAACGGTCTTCGTGACTCGAGTGAAAACACTGAGATGTCGAAAGACCGAACGGTAGGGCTTGGAAATCGTAGACTTGACTTTTGTACATGAAGCGGAGAAACTTCCTTTCGGTCTTGTGGATGGGAATGTAAAGATATGCGTCCTGGAGGTCAATCATTGACACCCAGGACGGTGTTGGGATGGAGCATGTTACAGTTAGTATGAAGTCCATCCTGAATTTCCTTGGCCGGATGTACTTGTTGAGAGGCTTGAGATTGATTATTGGTTGCTACTTGTTTGTCTTCTTCTTGGGTAAGAAAGAAGGTAGACAGGAAACCGTCTGTCATGCCGTTGGGATGGACGTGACTGACGGCATTTTTCTGAAGCAGGGAGTGAAGTTCGGCCTCCAGAGCCAGGCGTTTGTCTTTGTTACGCGGCACGGGGGTCGGAAGTAACATGGCCTCGGACGAAGGGGCACTCGTAAACTCGAGGGAGTAGCCGTGGGTGATGGTTGCCAGAACCCATCCATCCAAGGTGATCTCCTGCCAGAACCCTGCGAATTTCTGTGGACAGCTGCCGACGGGTTTGAGATCGGCGGTCGCAGAATGTGAAGTGGCACAGTCATCGGCGACGACCCCGGAAGTAATGGGGGGCGCGCAACGTAGATCCTCGGGTCGACCGTGGCTGGATGGGTTTGGTCGAGGCACGGACTGAGGCACGACGCTGGGTCGGTTGTGGGAGCAGAGGGCGAAAAGAATGTGTCTTGGGTGGAAGCAGCTTGGGATTCTGAGGCTGACGCGGCTGAGTTTGCTGCAAAGCTGGAGTCACCGGCTCCCGGAAGGAGAGTTTCTTTGTGGTGTCGATGCATTTGGCTTCGGCCTCAAGAGATTCCAGTAACTTGCCGGCGAAGAGATCCTTGCCAGAAAGTGGGAAATCTTTAAATCTAGACTTCACGCCTTTGTGAGGGATATGCATCGCCTCCAAGGTGTTGGCTCTGCAGGTGAAGGAAGCCAGGCAGGAGATCCGAGTGAATTGCTCGAAGGTGAGGGGCAAGCCCTCATCTAGGCCCCAGAGCCGTGAAGTCTGGGGACAATGGTGAATTCTCCTCACATGCACTTGCGATGTATTCCGAGAGGAAGAGGAATGGCTGAACAGCGAAGGCTGAGGCGAAAAGCCTTGTCCAGTTTAACCAGGGCTGACTCGAGGCGGGACTTGTCGCTATCGCGGAAGATCGACTTCCGAGGAGCCTTGCCCGAGTCAGGGATGATTTTGTCCCGGATTGCATCTGGAATTTCCGGCACAGATAAGATGTTATCATAGTCCTCCCTCGGAAAGTGGTAATAAGCAAGGGCTCTAGGAGGATAAGGGCGCCAGTGTACGGCCTTGGTGATTGAATCGAAGATCTCAATGTAAGAGCGGTCAAGCGGGATCACTGGGAAAATTGGACCTGAAGACTCCAGCCTCGTCGTGAGGCGCTTGAAGAAGATGCGGCCGGTGCCCCTCTGGGGGGAGTTAGAAGGCCGAGGATTTGGATCATAACACGCTGCAGGAGACAGACCCGGCCTTCAGAGGGGGTTGAGGCCACCCGTCGAGTCAGCGCCGTCTTCTACTGATGATGGTGTCTGCTGCTCAAAATGAGGTACAGCTATGCCAAGATCAGATCCATGGATGCTTTCGTATGTGACTGAAGGTTCCGGAAGGGGGACACCACCTTGGCCAAGGCTTCAGTGAGTACAACACTCAGAGTAGTCATCCATAACTGCGGGTTGAGGCTTTGGGAGCCGGGGGTGAAAGGTCCGGGTCCGAAGCGGTGGAAACTGGCATTAGTCTGTCGCTCAGGGATCAAACTAAGGAGGACAGAGATTCATTAATGGACTGGAACACTGTCATCCATGGCTCAGGGGAGTGTTCGCGTTGTTTAGAATGATGTCTCTTCTTGGTCTTCGAACCAACTGAAGGGAAAGAAGAGCACTTGCCTTCTGGTCTGGAACGAGAAGCAGATTCAGCATTCGATGCAGTGGGTAAAGTTGAAGGCTGATCCCGGAGGGCAGATGGGAGTTTGACTGGAATGGACGCCGTCTCCTTGGCGCGGCGGGCCAGCCAAGGAGGGTCTCGAATTACCGGGAACGCCAAGCTGGAAGCCAGAGCCGTGGATGGGTTGCGGAGGTCTGAAGCCACGGCGGCAAAGTAGTCCTGTGGGTTCCGTGGTGCCCGGCGGGTTCTTGCCGGGTGCCCCGGCACCTTGGATTGGAGAACCATCAGGTGGTCCTGACCCAGTGGAGTGCGGGGAGCCCCCCTGATGTCATCGGTATGAGGCCAGCTAGGTGTCGGGTCGGCTGGCGCTACCGAGGATTTGGCCTTGCCTTGCATGTAGCAGAGCTACGGCGGCCGGACGCCGTTGCGGGCGGCAAGGGAAGAGGAGCCCCGTTGGTCTGCTGGCTTTTGTGAGCAGTAGGCATTTCTGTTGGTCGACTCGTTGGGTCTTCGACGGTCATAGGAAGCACTGGCTCAGTTGACTAGGCGGTCTGTTGGAAGGCGGAGAAACAGAAATTATAATTCAGAAAATTCCCCATGGGAGTCTGACTACTGCCGAATTGAGCATCACAATTAAGGCCGGAGTCCTAGTCTCAGCGGCTTAGAAAACGGAGCACCCTCTCATGAGGCTTGGCCTTGCCCTCATTCAGTCAGTGATCACAGCTCAGGCGTGAACACGCTGGTTTGATCAGTCGGCTTCTGTGCACAACTGTCGAGCAGGAGGCTCTGATCCCAGTAAGGGCCCCTCTTGCTCGCGACTAAGGCCTATATCTTCGTCAGAGCCACATATAGGGGTGAAGTACCCATGTGGCTAGGCCTTGTCCCCGTTAAACCCCTTTAAATTGAAAGCGCTCTCTCAAGCGGTTAAGGCTATAACCCACAAATGCTGCTACAGTAAGGAAAAACGCACTCTATCTCATGCAGCAGTTGTGTGGATTACATGGGCCGCTTTATCGAACGAATGCACCACACAAGTGGCCCGGCCTATGGGGAGTGTAGGGTCGGCTGTTCCTAGTAGCACTCACAGTAAACACCTGCAGAATGCACACACAAACAAAAAGAGAAAAAGGGCACCAAGAAACAAGGAAATAACACTCTTACCAACACAAATGAAATCACACAAGGTAAAGGTTTATTCAGAAACGATGACTGGATGATAAAGTCAACATAGAACCATGTAACGAAAACGGAAAACTCGAAAAATTTGAAGATGTCTGAAAGACATGTCAGTTGCAATATGGCGCTTAGAAAAAGAGGACGATCATGGCGGCGAGACCGCAGTGCATAGTGGGAGGTCATAGGGCATCTCGGATGATAAAGTCTTATTCAGCGAATGGCCATGTGCGCATGGGAATTTGCATATGTAGTGGCTGTTTGGGTAGCTAGAATGCAGTAGACTTGATGTTTTATGTAAAATTTTCTATTCGGCTGATAAATAAAATTTAAACCACCAAAATAGTGTACTTTATCGTGACAATTCTGTCATTCAGCACACACCGCATCCCAACGCCCACTGCCCTGTGTTTCCTCTGTTGCTTGGCTGGGGCCAAGCCTAGGGTTGATACGACCACAGTCTTCTTGGATCAGCCTTTAAAAACCTTCAAGTTTAATAAGCGGATGTACCGGTAGTGGTGTGGGCATTTCAAGTTATGGAGGACTTTGCACATAAAAGCCTATTCTTTTGGTAAGTATGAAAAATGTCTTTGAAATAAGCAGAGTTTCAAGTTAACAGACTTTGAGTTATCGAGATTGTACTGTAGTTTTAAAAATGCCTATGTTTTTTCATTCTTTCAAAAACAGCTTGTAAAATCTGATAGTGTGATCGTTCCTTTATTTGCTGAAAAATGTTATTGCCATATTGACAATATCACACAAAAAAGAAAGGCTGTAAAAGAAAATTCTGTACCACCTGCAGTGTTATTGGGTCATTGGTTACCTAATATTGATATCTTCAATGGTAAAATATCTCTGTAGTAATGATGGAGGTAACAACGAGTTCAATCTGGCACCTATAAGAAAAGGGGAAAAAGCACTTAAATTAATTGTAAACTCCACAACATTAATTTCTTGATACTTCAGTAATTGTGAACACATAGCATTTTGTGAATTCCCTGATGTGGTTTCTAAAAGATTTAAAGAAGAACTGTGTTCGATGGAAAACATAACAAACGTTGTATCATACAGGATACAAGTCATTTCAGTGACAATGTTTCGGGGAAGGCAGAAGGGTGATAAGAAGGGTTGACAATGCTCAGGAAAACTTTGCAATTCTCTTTATATGCTGAAGATTAATGCTGAAGCCTTTTAATCATCAAACAATCAAATCTCTTTTAAACAGATCTGACTATCCGAATGTTAATATGAGGGTAGGAAAATATTACTGCAGGTTAAACAAAGGGCTTTTACAATATGAGTTCATTCGTGTGTAACATTTAAGGTAGTCACTTCAACGCATTAAGGGTTGGCGACCATTTAGACCCGGTTTGAAAAAAAAAAAACAGTGTTTCATGTGGGTGTAAGTGTCCAGTAAATGAAGATATGAATTTTTAAAGCATTTTGAACACAGAAAAAAAAGGATATTATCCCATCCCAGCATCATCAACATTCATAAATGCCCCCCAGCGGGAAGTGGTTAAGTACTGAGGAGGATGTTCTCAAAGTGGGCATTATTCTCAAGTACATAATTCAAATTAAAAAACTTACTTGAATAATTAAATGCTACTTCCTCATTATTTCAGCATTATTCCTAGTACTACAGAGCAATTCACATTAATTGTAGGTCACTACAGCCACTTTCAAGTTAAAAGCCTTTAAAGAATCTTGAATAAAGGCCCTCCATATTCTTCACTCAAATACAGTTCATTTTCACTGGAATGCCAAACTTAGTGATGAGTTACAACAAAATATGACAAAATTAATAAATAAGTCTCACCCCCCACCTCGAGTGGGTTGAGTCTACTTCTGCATACCTACCAGATTACCAATACATATGCATTATTTCAAAGTCCATTACTCCATTCGCTAAATTCTCGATCACCAAACAAAGTGCAGAGTGTGAAACAGCACTTCAAAGATAACTTGGAGCTTGAGATTTGTCTTGATTGATTTGGTTGGGGGTAGTGAGAGTGTACACAGCCGTGGTCACCGTAACAGTCTCAACTCCGGTACAACTGGGGATCAACCAGTTGTACTGAAAGATGAGGACGTCAGAACAACTGAGATGAGCTTCTACTGCTTGTACCAACCTGGTAAACACTCCGAGAGTGGTGGAAAGGCCGAAGGGGAGAGTGCGAAACTCGTAAACCTGACATTTGTACAAGAAGCATAGAAACTGGCGATCGTCAGGGTGGATAGGAGTGTAGAGGTAGGCGTCCTTCAGGTCGAATGAAAATGCCCAAGCTGAAGTGGAGATCGACTGTAAGACGGTGCGGAGGATCTTGATCCTGAATTTCTCTGGCTGTATACAGAGATTGAGTGGTTTTAAGTTGAGTATTGGTCTTCACTTTCTGGGTTCTTTCTTTGGTGTGAGAAAGAAAGGGGACATGAGGCACGAGTGTGCAAGATGTGGCAGAACTAGAAGGATGGCCCGCTTCCGAAGAAGATCTTAAATTTCTAACTCCAGGGCCCGACGCTTGGAAAGATCGTGTGGGACTGGAACATCATGCTGGATGGAGGGGGGCTCGAGAACTATAGGTGATAACCATGAGAGATACGAGAACCCATCAGATGGAGGTAATCTCCCAAGAACCCTGCAAAATCTAGAAGGTGGATGCCAATTGGTTCAAAATTGGCGGCCATGGGAGACATGGAGTATTCACCAGTGCTGACCCCTGGCAGAGCACAGGGGGCAGTGGGTTAGGCCACACAGAGATCTGGCAGTGTTGGGAGCAACAGGGCGCGGTCATCCCAAGCTGGAAAATAACGGTCTACAGGCATGCTGCAGAGCCTGCTGCAGTCGTCATGTTGGCAGAGGAGACGCACGAACTGACAGTCTCAGGGGAGCCATACAGGAGGCTTGAGGACAAGACTCAGTTGACTAGCAAAAGGAAATCTTCTGAGGGTTGTTGATTCACTTGACCTCACTTTCCAGGAGAATAAAAATGGGCCCGTGAAAAGGTCCTTGGCAAACATGGGAAGACCTTTGAGAGCAGCGTTAACTGACTCATGGGGAATACTTAGGGCTTGAATAGCAGATTCCCTATGAGACACCGTAGCATACAGAGAAACAGGAGCAAACTGCTCAAGGCAGTGATCAAGGAGTCATCAAGACAATGGAAAGCCATGGTGACAAACCTCATCACAGGCACAAGATTAGAATTTAGACAGGAAGAGAAAGGACAGGCAGCAAATACCCATATGAGCAGCCAGGTCAATATTCTTGAGAGCCACCTCTATACATTGGAGGTCCTGATTGGGGAAAGTATGGCCGGATTTGCCTCTGTGAGGAAATATCTTATCCTTGGCCGCCTCAGACATCTCCAGTACAGAAAGATAAGCATCAAAGTCACCCAAAGGAAACTTGAAGTAAAGTTGATGGCAGAAGCCAGGGTGCCAGTGCTTGGCCAGGGCCAGTTTATCCATAGTGTCTATGCAGGCAAGGTCAAGTGGGAGCTCAGGGAAGATGGGCAAAGCAGAAATCTTCCTAGGCAAACAACGTTTGAATGAGGGGTGGCCCTGGTGGTCCAGAGGCAGGGACTCCCAGCACCTGTATCATTTCCATTGAAGCAAACGGAGGTGGGACTCAGACTGAGAGAGCTCATTTGCCAAAAGTATCTCATCCTCATCAGGCGACTAACCAAATTAGAGATATACAAGTATGGGTCAGGACCAGTAGGAGGATCAGGGGAACAGCTCTCAGCAGACGCAGGCTGAAACGCCCTGAAACAGACCAAAAAGTTCCAGTGCCCGGCAAAAGATTCTGTGGAACATGCAGAGGGCGGAGAATAAAGCTCCAGATCTGGGTAATTAAGAGCAAACACCAGTTTAAAAAGCCCTTCATTGCTGGACAGGTCAGATCTGGTCAGTCCAGACCAAGGACTGCCCATTATACATGGTCAAGGCAGCAGAGAAAGACTGTCAGCTACACAAGGCTGCATGACGTGCTATACGGAGCCTGGGGCAGGGCAGCTCTAGCTGTATATACTGTGACAGCGATGAGGTGCATACTCAAGAAGAGTGCTACCCAATTTTTAAATGGCAAACCGTGCAAGGCAGGCCAAGGAGGGGATGGGAGTCAGCCCTAGCAGTGTCCCTCGACTGCGGGCAGACTCACAGTCCAGACCGCTGGACCAGAGCGAAGATGGACTGGAGCTCGAAGAAGGCCTGTGTTCGAGGTGTGGAGCAGCATGGTATATTTCTAAACCTTACGGAGGACCAGCATGCTCAAAGTGCTCGAATGTCCCTGCTTGGGCGGCATTACCGGACCGGATGGTAAGCCGGCAGTGGAGTAAGCTAGATAGTACGTAGTCTTACAGCTCAGACTGCAATTACTTGCCTGTGCACCCTCTCGAGTGGAAGACTCAGCTACGCTCCAGAAGGCCAGTATGGGAGTGCAGATGTGCCAACAGCACTCAAAGATAACCCGTGGGTGTGCAGTGAAGTGGCAAGGTAAATTTCTAAACCCCACAGGGGACAAGCACCCTCAAACTGCTGCAAGTAGCAAAGAAACTCGAGCGGCCTTGCATGCTCAACAGTGCAGTACTGTAGCAAATAGGGGTATTCCATGGTCGTACCTTGGAGGAAATAGTAAACTGATGCACTGTCCTATTCCCGGAGCTTGCAGGGACCAAACACACCTCTGTCCCTCCGAAATCAAGTGATCCCTGGCCTGCCATGTGAGCGTAACAACTAGAAAAGGGGTGTCGTACAAAATATCTTGCGATCTGGGACCAAATGCACAGAAAAAAGGGAGGAACTATACTATACACCACAAGGAGGCCAAATCAACAGTGGAAAAATATATATCTGATATTACATTTGTATACACAAGAAAACGACGGCACAATCTTTGGGAAATTTGTTACGGAAACCAAAAGATATACACAAAGGGAAACCGAAATAAATAACAGTACAAGACAATGACGTTCTTCAATTTTATTCTAAATGGAAGATGTATACAAATATCCAAAATATACATGAAGCAAATGCCAACAGACGAAGGAAAGCTTAGAGAAGACCAGACTTGAGAAAGTCTAGGCAAAGGTCAAAGGGCAGTCTGCCAACCTGCGCAGGGCTGAAAGGAAAAAGAAAATGAAAAATGCACTTCAAAAGCAATAAAAGGAATAGTCTCAATGTTCACAAGAACAAGAATAACTAGGGTAGAAAGAATAAGGGGATGATCAAGAAATGACACCGAAATGAACTTTAGCAAAGAATAAAATCTTGAAAATATCGGAGCCGGACAATGAAACATCCGTTAGTAATGGCACTAAAAAAAAGAGGAAGATCATAGTGGCCGCTTCTGCAGGAGTAAAGCGAGTGAGGGCGCATTGCTGGGTGATTGAGAATTTAACGAATGAAGTATGGACGAGGAAATAATGCATATGTATTGGTAATCTGTGTAGGTTGCAGGCAGTAGACACAGAATTTGAGAGTCTTAAATACTTGAGGATGGAGGGTGGGGATACTCTAGGAAATGAAGTACCTAGAAACCAGGAGTGAGACACAGGAACTTTGCTGTCTCCATCTAGTGGTCACACACAATCCATTGAAATACATGTATGTCATTTGACAAGTTCTAGATCAATACAGTTTCCAAATGTAATATCATGGTTCACTGACAATAATTTGGTACAATCTTACCATAGTTGACAAATATGGCAGCAATATCTTGAAGTGTAGGGCACCACGGCTTATGGTTTGGATCATTATGTTGAAATGAGTTCAACAGTGACCACATGGTATCATATATCATCCCAGCAAGTAGTACATTGTCACAGATAGACACTGAAAAACAACAATCAAAATTATAACATTCTATACTTACAAGTAACTCTAATTATTACTGGCTATTGCTTTAAATCACACGAGTGCTTTAAAAAAAATTCCTTTAGAGTCTTGAATCAGAAAAAAAAAACTTGAGATACATGTACGTTTGTCAGTAGACAAATGTGCTGTTTCAGCTTTCAGATAAACAGTCTGTATGCAAAGGTAAGTTAAAGATAAGTATTATATGAAAGTTTCATCAAAGCACCTAGCTGAACTTAATAAATGAACAAAAATGTGTACAGAACCTATCGTGTGGAGAAAAACTGCACCTTTAATCATATGTCACATGACCCATGATAATGTCATCAAGCCTTCAATACTTTAGTTTGATCTGTGCATTAGGGTCTGATGTCATCACGTGTTAATTTTTGAATAAAGATAACAATGAGTAGGTTTATTTGAGCACATAATTCAACTCTATGTAACTATGTAATCTAACAACATATTTTTCTTAGTAAATCCCACTACAAACATTTTCATTAACATTGATTCTTTAATAACATGTACTTCACTTGTGAAAGTTTCGATTATTAGCTTTGTCAGGAGGAACATTCAGATGTATACTAACTCACATGGTTGGAAACTTGCACTCTGAGAGACAGTAAGTCAAGTCTTACAGAACAAGGACTCAACTTAGTTTGTTCAAAAGAGAAAATCAAGTCATTTCAACTATTCATCACTTTCCTCGTTTCAACTGATAGCATGCCAGAAATATTCTCTTTCTTTTTTTCACCTCAAACACAAGAAAGTTTGTTTCGTACAGATCCTACGAAAAATTCTCTTCAAGGTCTCATTTGTCGACACAGTCCAAGTCCATGGGGTCCAAAATCGATTTGCCTCCAAATGACACCAAGACCAACCCGTATTACAAGTTTGAAATTAATATGTCCTGTCTTTCTAAAGTTATGATGGGAAAGCAGTTTCCATTGACCTTGATCTTTGACCTACAGGATCGAAATCAATAAGCTTCTGCAGGACACTAAGACCAACCAACATACCAACTTTGAAGCTGATATGTCAGATCCTTCTCCACAAATCTCCAGTTACAGTTAGAAACACATACATGTACGCACACTGAAGGATAAAGCAAATGCAGTTTGCCCAGTTGGTTTCACTGGCAGGACATCAAAACAAAACAAAAATAAATGGCACAAAATTTCTCAGAGAAAATACACAAAAATGATTGTTTCTTTGCACTCCTTTGTACTTCTGAACTCCTTCATGTGAAATGATAACTGGACCCTGGATCTGTCCAAAATACAGTCCGTCAGTCAGGGCAGATATTCAAAGTACACATAGTTATTTATTAAAAATCATCTGTAATTAGACTATTTAGAGTTCATTGCTGCCTACAAACTTTGTTCAAAACTTGGTTTATGGGTACAATGTTTAATTTGTAATTTCTAATTTGAAGCTTTTAATCTGTTTATAACCCAAACTCCCTAGGGTGTGTGCAAAATCATATTAACCACTTCGTGCCGGGGCATTTTTCAACGTTGAGGATGCTGGGCCGGCATGACTATCATTTTTTCCATTTTCAAAATCCTTCAACAATTCATCATTCCATTCGACAGTCGTTTATAGCCGCACAGAGTAATCTTTAGGCAATACTCTAACTTGACAGGTGACCTTCATTGATGCCCGAATATTTCAGCCAGGCCTGCAGCCTTATAAACAGAGCCCAGATTGTGCAGTGTTATACAACTGTCTTTTGTTCACAAACCTGGCTCAGTGCACTGCTGACCTCTTTTCAATAACGGCCAGATTAGCATGCAGCGGTGCTGTGTGGCTCATGGTGGAGAGCTTTTGTCCCCGGTGGTAATCCGCTTGCTCTAAATGCCCCAAACCCTGGTATACCNCCCTGGCTGGTAGTGGTTAAAATTGGAGGATTCAGGACTGTTAGGGTTAACATGCTTTACTTTGCAAATATAATGAAATAAAGCGTATCCCACTGTAAACGTGCGTGCATTTAAATACTGACCCCGTAATATTTTTGTGGTGTACAAATGGGTAAGACGAGAACCTCATTACCATAATAAGTAAGTTATTTCATACCCATAATGTCATAAATGCAAGCAATTTTACATTCACTGTTGCAGCACAATCATGGTACACTGGTGCTTGCCAGTGAAAATGTACTAGTGTGAACGACAATGCAGTATGCAGGAACCAGTCAATAGCCAAACACTGTCCTTATAAACCGCAGAGCATTTTAATGGGTCACTGTGATGAGAACGCACATCTAGGAGTAATGCCATCATACAAGCATCATTGAAAATTATCCTAAATGTCGAACTTTCAAACAATTGTTTGTGAGTTCATGCATGAAACTTAGTGTGCTCCTTTCTGTATGCGCAATTTCTGTTAAATGCAAGATTATCTCGAGGTGCCATTCTTGTATTTGTAGCCACTCATCCAAACAAGATTTAATGTTTAACCATGGCTGACTAATGCACGTGTTTGCTTGCTGACATGCCTGCAGTTTACATTCATGTGAGCCTGACAGCATCAATATCCTTCATTTTTGGTCAGCATTATTTGCTTTTGACATATTTGATTAACTTCTGAAAAACTCTTGGAGAGATATTTTTGTGGCTAAATACATATACATGTACATGTCACTGTAAAGTTCATCAGAATAAAATGAAAGGCCCTTGTACATGTATACACCAAAACTTCTCAAAATGGAGGAGTATGAAAACTCCCCCTCCCCAAAAAATGATGTTTTTGCCATATATGAATTTTTGCTCTAGCATCTACATTCAACACAAATAAATACATATTCCAGCTCAAGCTGTTTGTTGATAGTTAGTACATTTCTATGCCTAGGTTTGAGTAAAATCTTTTGCAATTTGTTTTTATTGAAATTTACCCACTTCAAACAGTGCTCTCCTAATGTGTTTGCCATGCTTCAAAAGGCTGATTAGAATGCTGAAAGTGGCATCCACACTCTTGGTTCATTTTCCTTTCATGAGTGTACACGTTTGTGTTAGCCTTTTCCAAAAATACCAAGAAACAAACCCTGGAGCTTATCATGCATGCTCGATCACCATCGAGGGTCAGATGGGAAGTTTTCCTCAAATTACAGGATCGGGGTTCTCTCTGCTTTTTCACCTGCTTCAGGGTGTTGTGGGTTTTAGGTATTCTGATTGGAAGGTTTTCAGATATCTAATCAAAAAATTAATAACATGCTTGAATGTATTGAATGTATCCAGAATTTATATACCAGACGCTTCACAAAGAGTATGAATAACTCAAACCTAACAAGAGTAAAATGGTTTTTTCCAAAAATACCAAGAAACAAACCCTGGAGCTTATCATGCATGCTCGATCACCATCGAGGGTCAGATGGGAAGTTTTCCTCAAATTACAGGATCGGGGTTCTCTCTGCTTTTTCACCTGCTTCAGGGTGTTGTGGGTTTTAGGTATTCTGATTGGAAGGTTTTCAGATATCTAATCAAAAAATTAATAACATGCTTGAATGTATTGAATGTATACAGAATTTATATACCAGACGCTTCACAAAGAGTATGAATAACTCAAACCTAACAAGAGTAAAATGGTTATAATGATTTACAAATATACTATCAGCTTGTGTTTGCTTAAGTTGGTTTGTTGGGTAGAGATGAGATTAAAGAAATTTATTTAGTAACTCACACAGCTGCAGGAGCCACAGCATGACTGAATCTGGACATTGCTTCACAGCGTATATGTCTAAAATCGTCCGAGACATCAACAATTCCTCTAGCTCATCTGGTAAAAAAGGGGAGCAAATAATGACACTTTCAAGAGTCTCTAATCGCTTGCTTTTATAATGGACAAGAGTATGGTGACTCCTCGCCCAGGTTAGACCCCAGTCTTCATTCACATTTCGACAGACACCCAAAGAAAGCGAAAATTTCATTCAAATGTTCCTTATTTCCAGAATTACACAACTGATAAGTTTAGAATATGTCCTTGGTGTACATGTAAATGTAGTTTCTGTAGAAAATTAAACTTTAGAAATTGCAAGTTCAATTTAAACATCTGAAAAGACTTTTCAAGTGGAGACATGTACAATTTAGGCTGGTCCCTTCCGCATCAAAGATCGCTCAAAATAACATTCGGTTTCTGTTGGTCAGAGAACCAGACTAGCAGTTGCAATTCATTATCCAACCTCATCCCTAGCATTTCTTATTCAAGCCCGACTTTCTTAGGGTGGAGGCATCAGTGTTGCAGTACTCGTACTCAAGAACAACTTGATTACGCCAGAGTACTTGGTCCATAATGGTTTGGATGCTGAGGTGACAAGTGAAGATTACATTGCTCAACCTTGAACATAACATAGCAAGACATACCAGTTTTGCTCTGTAGTCTGTAACACATAAAGAATGCTTACTGTGCCCCGGGTACAAGGAACCTTTCTGCTAGACTAGACTCCACAGTTTTACTATAGGAAATGGTTCGTGCTCAGTGAGCATGATTTTCTACATTGCACACACATGGACTGACACTGACAGAGGTTTTGTTGCACTTCTTCCTGGCTCTTTCATAATTGAATTTATCAGCAATTTTCGATATGCCTTTTTTTTGTTTTTACTTTTCACACTTTATTCTTTCTGTTTTAAGACAGAAGGTTCTATGATTTGTTGTCTTAGTCCTGCTATGTAAACATTATCATTTTGTTTTTAATTGTTTTCTGTAAGAAATGCTCAGTGAACACAAACTGCCAGAGATTTCATTGATTTGTCAATATGACGTAAATACACACGTACTTGCACAAATAAACATTGAAAGTGTTAACTACTCGGTAAAGGCAATTGTTGCATGGTGTGTTGTTTTAAGTAAAATACCGGTACATCTACCTAGTAGATGTGTTCATGGTGGTGTTTCATTTGTTTACATTCGTGGTATTGTACTGTATATATATATATAAATGTACTTGGACTTACACTTTGGTACTTGGACTCAGCCCAATACTTGCCCTAGAATGTACTCAGACTCCGTGCTTTGGACTAGTGTGCTTGTACTTGGCCCAGGACTTGACCCCTAAAGTAATCGAAGTACTCTGTACTTGGATTCGAGGACTGGACTACAACAGTGGGAGGTTCACTGCTCTACACCACATTTGCACCTGCGCTGTGTGCACAGCCTAAAGTTTGGATGATTACGACAGATATGGTGGAAATGAGGAATAGACTGATTGTATCCGCTAAGTCATGTAACCTATATCAAAAATCAACAAACCCTTAGCAAAGTGTTTTCTACCAAAAATAAAGATAATTTTCAGTATAGAACTCAGTACATCAACTGTCAGCTTCATGCTTGGTAACTGACACGACACACTTAGCTAATTGAGGCTACCACGTTTGCTGACGTTCAGTACTCACTAAAGATCACTTGACTTAGTGGATGCAACCTGTCTGTTGTGATATATTTTCTACAAATACGCCGCCCAAGGACATATTTACTTAACTTATTCTTAAACTAGTCATTGAGTATTCCCAGGTATTAGGAACATGTGGACAAAAGTGAAACTACCTCTATCTTATTAAAGTTTGAAAAAAAATTGTTGCTAAAATTTCGAATAGCAGGATGAAGTGAATTCTGGATGTTAGTCGCAATGCAATGAAGATGTCATCCAACCTGGTTTGGGTGGCTCCCTTCTCCAACAGTACACTTCGGAATACGTGACCAATGAGATACAGTAGATTCCCGTTATAGCGCTCTCGAGGGGACCTAACAGAATTGAGCATTAAGACTGCACAGCACTATAACCGACTATGGACGCGCAACATGTGTAACGCACATGTACAGTATATGTACTTCTATATACATGTATAGACATGTACATGTATCCACATGTACACGTATGTCATATATGTGTATTCATTTACATGTACATGTGCTGGCAGATGTATGCACCTTAATTTTCGGCGTATATGCTTTGTATCCGTTTATCTTGACATTTTCGTAACACCGATAAGAAAACACCAAATCTCTTCAAAAACCGCCCAGGACCTCGTGCATGCTGCATCGCGGTGCATGCACTGCATCTACACCCACCGCGACATCCTAACTGCTGCTGCGTGCCCATTCATGGACAGTCCCATTGCTGACTTTTCCCAATAACCATGTGACCACAAAAACTGATATGTCATTTTCAAGATGTATTTTTTTTGCGTTGGGGAGATGTTAATTATATATAACGGGTTTGCCCTTACCCAACGTATATTAATAAACACTGTATGCTCAGTGCTTGTCCGAGAACTGGTCGGCTGGCCGGTGTCACCGGCCACCGGCCAGCCGACCCCGGCAAGCTCGGTGGTCGAGTGGTTAAGACGTCTGCACTAGTAAGCAGGAGGTCGTGGGTTCGAGTCCCAC